CATGGCAGTAAGAAAGCACTGCACACAGCAGAGCATGATTTTCAAACTGCAGGTCATGAACCATTACTGAACTGTGAAATTAATCCACTGTGACCTACATTTTGCTAAAAATGAAATAGAATTCAATAGACGATCAGAAGAAATGTTGTTTTATGGAACTTGTCCCAGTCATATATACGGGTACAAAAACATCAGTGTACTGGGTTGCCATGGTAACCTATCTCTTGCTGTGCAGTCCACCCTGGAACAATTCTGAGTGGAGGAATGAAAGAACTTCAGTATGCATGGAGTGTGAGGAGAGTCAGGATGCAACATGAATACCCTCAACACACCTAGGAATTAGGTGCTAATGTCTATTTCACAAAGACCTCAAATTGCTTGCTTGAAGTCATTCAGTTTATTCAGATGGAAGGAAGATTTGAACCAAGGAAAGAGCTTCCCTAAACTACATGGGATACGATATTGTCATTATAAATGGATGCTCTAATGAGGGGTGCCTGGGTGGCTCAGTCAGAAGAGCAAGCTATTCTTCATCTCAAGGTTGTGAGTTGGAGTCGCACACTGGATGAATAGACGACTTAAATAAATAAACTTTAACATAAATAGATACATAGATAGGTTAAAAAGTGGATCCTAACGAATGAAATTACCATCCAATTTTGAATTCAACTTTAGACAACAGTGTCTCTGCTTTGGGAACAGGAGATAGCTCAGATAAAAGACGATCCACCAAATTTCAGAAATAACAAAGAAAACTATACTCATTAAGCCAGCTACAGAAGAAAAGAGTCAGGAGCCTGGTACCTGGCAGGCAACCCTGTTCATGATGTAAGTATTAGCTGAATTATGGGACTAATTCTCCATTAACTTATTCCACTTTTTTCTGTTGTACTACCTAAAAATGATTAAGTAGCTAGTCCACCTGCTTATGGCCACTATTTTCTTCTTTTCCACAGTTTTCCATGCCAAGTGCACAGAAGGCCCTCCAGAGCTGAGTTGAACTTCACTTAATAAATAAGCTAATGTGAACTGCCTTTGATGCTAGTTATTCTTCTCCAGAGAAATAAGAAAAATTCCCCCTGGTTGGCAGAAAACATTCAAGATTAAGGTATTTTGACACTAAAAGAATATTCCAAGTTCTAGATATTCTTACTGTCACCTAAGAAAATGTGAGTGCTAAATAAGAGACAATGACTGTTTATACAAAAATTTTCAAATAGGGTTTGAAGGCAGTGACCACCATTTAAAAAAAAAAAAAAAAAAGTCCATAAAAGCACTAAAGTCATGTTGACTAGACTAATCCTAGTCTACTACACTGAGGGTCCCCTGGCAGGTGAGTTGCAAATGATATATCTGATAAGGGAATTGTATCTAAACTATATAAGGAATGCTAAGAATTCAATAATAAAATGATCTTGAATGGGCATTTTTCCAAAGATATAAAAATAGCCAATTAGCACCTAAAAAGATTCTCAAAATCATTAGTCACCAGGGAAATACAAAACCACAATGAGATACTAGTTCACATTTACCAGGATGGCTATAATCAATATGGCACAGCCACTTTGAAAAACAATCTAGCAATCCCCCCAAAAGGTAAACATGGAGTCACCATGTAATCCAGCAAATCCACTCCTAGTATATGCCCAAGACAAATGAAAACATATCCACATGAAAAACTGTACATGAATGTTCACAGCATTATTCCTAATAACCAAAAGATAGAAACAATACAAATGTCCATCAAATGATGAACACGTACACAAAATGGGATATATCTACACAGTGAAACATTATTTAGTCAAGAAAAAGAATCAAGTACTGATCCACGCTATAACATGGATACAAGCCTTTTATTAAGTGAAAGAAGCCACTCACAAAAGATGACAAACTACCTATGATTCCATTTTTATTAAGTATCCAGAATGGGCAAATACAGGGACAGAAGTGGAGCAGTGGCTGCTTAAGGGGAACAGGAAATTCAGAGTGACAGCTGAAGGGTACAGGGTTTCTTTTTGAGGTAATGAAAATGCTCTAAAATTGATTGTGGTTCTGGTTACACAACTCTGAATATACTAAAAGCCAGTGAAGTGTACATTTTAAATGGATGATTTTTATAGTATGTGAATCATATACTCAATATGATTCTCAATATCATATACTCAATATCATATGTGAATCATATACTCAATATATTCTCAATAAAGCTACCGCCACCACCACCACCCCATCCCTCCAAAAAGTGAACCAGGATATTAAGCAGAGGAACCAGGTTCACATCTAGTTCCTTTTGAATCCAGTTCCCAGACCCCAAACACTACACTATACATCCTTTCAAAACACAAGTGACAGTTACCAGCCAAATCTACACTTAAACTCTTCCAACAAATCAGTTGTATACCATAAAACACATGGGATAATTGCCTTCAAATAGCTTACAGCTTAAAAATTATGTTTATTGTCAGAAGAGCAAAGGCATGTACTACATATAAACCATTATAATACATAATGTAGTACATGCCTTTGCTTTTCTGATAATAATCTATGATACAGAATATATTCTACAATAGAGACTGTGACATACAGTATATCATATGAATGATAATAAGAGAGGATTATCACATTCATGGAAACACAGATTTCTATTGGAAGAAAAAAAACATTCCCCCTAAGCATTGACTAAAATTATTTGTAGCTAAACAAAATACAGAATAAGATTCCCAACAGTTAATCATCCTGGACACACTAAAAGGGAGGGAGGGAGTTTCTCATCTTAATTAAAACAGAAACTTGAGGGGTACTTGGGTGGCCCAGTCGGTTAAGCGTCCGATTCTGGCTCAGTGATCTCACCCTTTGTGGATTCGAGCCCCGTGTCGGGCTCTGTGCTGACAGCTCAGAGCCTGGAGCCTGCTTTGGATTCTGTGTGTCCTTCACTCTCTGCCTCTCCCCTACCATACTGTGTGTGTCTCTCTCTCTCTCAAAAATAAACAAACATTTAAAAATGTTAAATGGGAACTTGATATCCCAGACCTGAGGTTTATTTCCAGGATAGGGTTTTGCAATGCATATATTCCATCGTGGAATCCATTTCTTTATTGTTAAGGTCTGAAATGACCCTAAACGTGTGTTAAGTCATTAACCTGGCAAGAATGTATGCCTCGGGTATCATTTTAAAGGGTTTCCATTCTGAAAGTCCCTGGAGTCTTTAGACAGGGCAGAAACCCATTCTCTCTCCCCCATAGACTAGATCACTGTCCTCTCTCTCATGCCAGACCACTACCTCCACCTTGTGGCCACAGCTAAACTCTGGGGGTCACTGCCCCAGGCCCAGAGTCTCCTTAGGAACTTCTGAACAAATATAAGAGCTGTTTGTTACACTTAGCCATCACTGTGAACGCTGTGACCAAGTGAAGTTCTCACAATACAAAGCAGTGAGAATTTCACTTGGTCACTTGGTTAGCTCTTGATGAACAAGTACCAGTAACAAGTACTCGCTGTGTCAGGACCCCTTCAATAAGAATCTTCAAAGCTTTTAACTTGAACAGAACTGGTTATTACCTACCCTAGGAATTAAACAGGTGAACTTTGGAACAAAATGTTTTTCAACAGTGTGTGGTAGGATTTTTCTAAATTTAGATACTGCATCTAAATTCCAAAGATGAATGGTAAGTATAAATTACTCTGGATGTGTATAAAACAGCCAACCTTTAAAAATAGACCTTTTTTTTCTTTTAACCTGTAAGGGATAGAGAAATGTTTTTAGGATCGTTATTCACAATCATAGAAAACCCAGTGACATTCCTCCTTTTGATATAGGGAGATACAAGAATAACAAACTTGGAAAACAGGTCAGTTAGATTAGTTTAAAACTAATCTGGACTTCCTCTCAAACCTGACATTCCCATTTCATTCTCAGGTACAATAATGGAACTAGAACAGCCCTGGGTAGATTTCAGAACCAGTCAGCATGGACTAAAATGCACAGAGAGACTCTAAAATTGGAATAAATCAGACAACTTTGCATGAAAGGCTTAGTCAAACCACCAAACTGGCAATCAGGACTGAAATTACGAAGAGCTAGAAGCCCTTCATCAATATACTGAATACATGGAAACTATATCGCTGTACAGTATGGTCAGCTTCTTACAATTATCTTAGGGAAAGTAAAATCTCAGGACGTCTGATTGGGGAAAAAGCATTAGGGAGCATCTACATTAGGGATAATAGGTACTTTTGTCTGACACACTAACATAGATGAGCTGACAATGGCTGCCCACAATTCTGTGTGTTGAAGGAGCACAAGACCCAGCTGGGATTTCTGAGGCGAGGACCGGGCTCAAACACCAAATGTGCCGAGGGCAGTGGACTAAGGGATTGAACACTACAACTTGCCACCTTTTGTACCTGGTTAAGCTCGCCATTCCTGATTTTAGTGTGCCCTTCTCTGTTTACAAATGGAAAAGTTGGGACCAAGAAGGTAATGCAAGGTCATACAGCTAATGAGAGGCTGAGGCAGGATAAGCAACCAAATCTGTGCATCCATATGTGTACCAACAAATCATAGTGGGAAAAGACAGGGTTCATATAATATGCTGATCATTCAAAAAAGAAAAATGCTAATTGCTTCTTCTCAAGAACCTCTGAAAAAAATGTTTTAGTTCCACAGCAACACCGTCTCAGGAACTTTCACAGAAACTATCCTGTGGTTAAAAACACATAGTTCTCCTGTTGTAAAAGGAACCTAACATTTCCTGTCTGTGAATTAGTACATCACAACGTTATCTCCAGAAACTTTATTAATTGCCGTTAAAAAAAAAAAAAAAAAGAAAGAGAATGTGTGTGAGAGAGAGCAGGGGCTCCGAAGACTTGTCATTCCTACTACAGAAATGAAGTCTTCACTGTGGGAAGAAACAGCTGAAAAATATTTTTCACTCACATGCCCCAGGATAGCTGAGGCCAAAAAAAAGAAGTTGATAATATGAGAAAAAAGAGATTGTTACCTGTTCTAACGTAAGCTGCTTAGAAATGGTATCATTCTCCAGTTTTTTAATTTTCTTCATCAGTTTGTTGACCTGGAATTCCTGCTCCTGCTCGAGGTGCTGTTCTAGTTCGGCTTTCTCGTGCTGCAGCTAGAAAGTGGAAAAGTCACAGACATGAGAAGTGAGACACTCAAAGGCCACAGAGACACTGACTCCACAAGCTGGTTACGCCGAACAAACGGTATCACCACAGAAGTCACAGTCCTCATCTGTGCTGACACCCAAGTGTACACCGAGTGCATAACCTGCTCCTGGGCCCTGCTAACTTATGACCAAAAGTTAGAGTGCACGTACAGAGGCCCCTGGCCTGCATCCAAAGTCCCCAAATGATAAGGCAAATACACATGAGCATCAAACCATGATTAATATAGATTGTTTAGTTTTTAAAAAAATCTAAGTTGGTGCTTCTGTAGAGAGGAATTGGGAAGCTAGGGATGAAGTAAGGATGGAAACTTCAAAATATAAAATTAACTTTTTCAAAAGATATTACTATTCAAACACACACACACACACACACACACCCCGTTACTTTTCAAACTTTATAACACCATAAAAATTAAATTAAAAATAGAAATTTTACACTGTCGGTTTTAATTAAATGAATTAATTTACTCAGATTTATATGTGTGTAAAGAAGGAAGACATGTCACAATCACAAAACATATTTAGTAAATTATTCTAAATGCTATGTGCCAATATACTATTAAGGATCCTTTGGTAAAAACCAGTACAATTAATTATCTTTCTATAATGAGACTATACATCACACCTCCCACATCTTTCCTAAAAGCCTGGAAGGAAGGCCTCTTATTTATTCAAGTAAAACATAAGGTTAGGGGTGCCTGCATGGCTCAGTCAGCTGAGCGTCCAACTCTTGATTTTGGCTCAGGTCATGATTCCAAGGTCGTGAGATCAAATCCTTGTGCAGGATTCTGCATTGAGCCTGCTTAAGATTTTCTCTCTAAAAAACATAAAAGATAAAGTTATGGAGTCATTGAAAAGTTTTTTAAAAGGTACCCCAACCATCAAACCTAAAGAGAATAAAGGAAAATGACAACTGGGGTTCCACACATTATCTCTAACATTCTCAACAGGGATGTTGTGTTGACTCATGGCAGGGGTTGGAGAGAATGATAGTAAAACGGCCCAATATTTTCAAAACCAAGGGGAGATTAAGTAAAAGCTACTAAAAACACATGTAGTTTTATGTGGGGGTCTGTGATCACACTGCTCCGTACTTTTACCTTCAAAATCACTTCTTCAGGCAGACACTGTGTACCAGGTTCTTCATATGCATTAGGCAGGCACGATCACTCCCATTTCATACGTGACAAAATAGGTAAGTGGACCAACATAATTCAGCTGGAAGGTGGTGGATTCTGGGACCCGCATTCTGCTCTGAACCCTAAGCCAGTATCCTCCCACTGGATCCTAAGCAAACTTAGGAGGAATCCACTCCAGACTCCGCTAGCATATAGTGCATGCATCCTCGGCATTTAAAGAGTCACTTGACCCAAAAGAAAACAGGCTGCCAAGGACAGTGGCCTGTGTCTCTTGGTAAACCCTGCATAAGGTGTGACGGGCAACCCAGAAAGACTAGCCAGGCTTGAGCAACCTCCAAAGAGCTGCGCCAAACCTTCACCACACTGATCAGTTACCACTGCTCTGTAAGCACACACTTGGTTAAGAAAGAGTTTAAAATCTGACAGTCTTCTAACACTGGAAATGTTGACTAAACAGATTCTGTTCTTCCTCCAACTGTTTTTGATGTGCAACTCCAAAAACAGCTGGTCAACCTTGCAGGGACCCAGAAAAGCAGCAGATGAGAGGAGGTGCTTACAGTGACAAGTCTATTTTTAGCTCACTCTTTAAAACTCAGGTTCTGCAAGATCAAGCAGTAATTAAAAGAAATAAGAGAAACCAACAGAGAACAAGAGCTCATGGCACTTCAGACACAAAAGACCCCGATGCGACAATACCACTTATGAGGAAGAAACAGCAAAGCATGCCTGTCCCCACCTAACACTTTTACTCCATAACATTACCTGTGTGTCCCCATCTGTAGGTACTGCGTTAGATGCAGGGGACATCTAGAGTGAAGAACAGTATGAAGCCCAAGCTTAAATGATATCTACTGGCTTTAGAAAAATGAACTTTAGTCTCAAAACCTTTAAATGCTTTGCATAGTAATTTTTATAGTAGGTATGTTTTCCTCCAATATGCTTTCAATCGCTGCCATTTTTATTTGGAAGAACAATCCCCCTTTCTTTTTAGCATTATTCTTCTGCCCTGAGGTAAATTAAAACAATAAAGGATGTAATCTAACATTGAAACATGTCTGGCCCACAAAGCTGCAGTTGTCACAGAATGTTAATCTGAGGAAAGATAAGGCAGTCATTGGCTTACAGGAAAATATTCCTATTTAGACAGATGGTCTATATTGTCAATATCTGATTAGGTATTTCCTTTAAGAATACAGATTAAACTAGTAATGAAATTCATAAAAGCTCTCCATTTTAAGAGGCTTTTTTCCCTCTTAAGAGCTATCCCCTAAGGAAAATTTGATGGCAAAGCTGCTGTCACCAGAACTCAAGTGAGATCTCTGGGTTACAATAACCCATTTGGAAAAGATCAAGCTATCCTGAGATCTGTCTCCCAAAGACACACATGTGCATCATCCCCTGAAAGTCAGGGCTGGAACAAACAGCTTTGCTGCTTGCTTTGTTCTGGCATCTCTCAGGTGACAGGCAATTTCAGGGCAGAGTATGGAGTTTCTGAACAGAGCACTAGAAGCAGGAAATAGGGTTCTTCCTTGGAACAAAAAAACCACCAATACAAATAGAAACACACAGAGAAATACAGAGACACCCCCTTCAAAGTCATGAGAGTTCCGATGAGCAAGAGGAAGGTAAGAGAGCAGGAAGAGATCTTGAGGAGCTAACAACTGCGGAGTCTGCCTGAGGAACATTCAGAAATTGCTGGTTTTAAACAGATACCATATAAATTCAAGTCATTCAGCCCCAACAGGCCGAATCCACCTGCCTGTAAGCTGCAGCTCATGATACCACAAAAACCCTAAAGGGAGCCTGGTTCAGGCTGACACAAGCCAGTTCTCAGAAATAAACTCCAGTGTCAGTGGCATCTTCAAAGTAGGCATAAAAAAAGGTCTTAACACTTTATGAGCAACTTTAAATCTTCCAAGGTCAGTGATCCTGAACTAGAGCAAAAATCATTCAAACTGAGAAGTAAATAGTCAAGCAAATTCTAATGTGTTTGAAATAAACTCTTATGCGTGCCTTAAATATATCTAAGGCAAAATGCTTAGGCAGATTAATTTTTTTAAATCAGAATTTTCTAGAAATACACTTTATAAAGTCAATCACAAAGATTATGCAAGAGTTTTATGACTCCTACTTGTGCAATATATTGTTAACATTAGTAAAAAAAAAACCTGTAGAATGGAAATTATATTATGTAACAGATGATCCACTGGCAGCACATTTTTAATGGAATTAGGGCTATATGAAGAAAAGTTTGCTCCTTAGGTTTCGCCATCAAAAAAAACAAAACAAAACAAAAAACCCAACATCACTGACGAGCCAAAAGCAAGATACAATCTCTAACCCTATAAAATTCTAAATATTAAAACTTCAACATTTGGTTAACCCACTCATCATATATGAAGCCCTAAAGCAAGCTTCCAGACTGTTAAGACAAGTGTAACTTTAATTTGATCTAAAGTAGGCTAGGCTTAAGCATCGTTCAATCATTCACAACTGCCATCTTTCTTATAATTTACAAAGACTCTCTGAAGCCACTCTGTGAACCAGGCCTCTTGTATAAAAGATTCCAGAACTCTCCAATGCATGGCCTTTACTCTAGGCAGAATTCTCACTAGCAAGTAGAAACACTGCAAAATGTTCACCTAAGACAGCCATCACAGGTGCACATGTAGGTCAGCTGTCGAGCCAGGCCTCCCCGCTAGCATGAGGCAGATTTGCCAAACCCCAGGCGGGGCAAAGCATGTTTGCAAGTCTGTGTTTGTTGTCTATCCAGCCAATGCCAAGTGAGACAAGCCTCCAGCCAGCAGCCCCAGGAACCAGCTTTCTCAACGCAATTCAGAATAAACACAAGATGCTTCCACCTTGGTTCTCAGTGGTCCAGGCTAATACCTCTGTGTACTCACCACCCCCACCCCACAACCTGCATCCTTAGTTTCCCAACAAGTACCAAAATCTAGAACTAACTGCACTGGACCAAGTAAAGGCCACCATAGTACAATAACTACATGAAGTCACTGGGTTGTCAAAACACAATTATCATTTTATTCATAGAAGCACTGCAAAAAAAGTTCAAAACTAGGTCAAAAGACATGGAGTCTTTTATGAACCAACTTTTTAACTGCTCTATTGAGCAGTTGGAGCAGAAAGTAAGATTCTCACTTAAATTCATTATATCACCACTAAATGCCTCTTGGGCCCACACTTATTCCCACCTCCAAACCCCTTCTGTTACTGGTACCATTATTCTCAATCAACACCTCATATCAGTTAACAATTGGCATTTAGTCAGCCTCCGGAGCAGCTGTCAAACCACCCTCTTCTTTCTATGCTCAGGGCCCCAATCTAGTTCAAGTCTTTTATTATTCTTCACTGGGCCACTGCCAAAGCCTCCCAATGAATCTCCCCAGATTCAGCATAGATCATCCTGGCAGACAAACCCTAATATTTCAACACTCTGCTCAAAACCTTTCAATGGTTCCCTACTACCTGCAAAGTAGGTATAACATTGTTGGCATGACACTCAAGTCCTTCTGCGATCCCAAGTTTCCCATACTTTCCTTATGCTATATCATACTCTACCCAAGTGACGGTCTAAGGTTCATGAATATAAATGTCTTCAGAGTCCAGACACCTAACAAAGAATGGATGTGCCAAAGCACAGCATGTGTTTGTAACCGTGTTAAAGGCAAAGTGCATGTTTTTCTCTAAAGACTCTTTTCCTAAAAAAATAAATTTAAAACACTGAAACCCATGATGCTGTGCAAACACTTCTGGAGACCACTCTGGTCCAGGGGCTGTGCAAACCCC